TAATTTAATTAATTCAATATAAAAAATAAAAAAATTATTTAGTTTCGGTTCTTATTCGGTTCTTCGGTTCTTGGTCTAGACCCGAGACCCGACCCAAACCCATCGGTTCTCGATTCGGGTACCCGTTCGGATATTTAATTTATGAAGAACCACTCAATTCGGTTCGGTTTGGTTCGGTCCTGTTCGGTTCGGGACTTTTGGACACCTCTAAATGGAATATATAGTTGAAAAGTTACATATGGCATAAAATATTTTTCTCAATAAATAAAATACCATTTTGCTAAAGTAACATATCATTATCATTATCATTATCAATTTCATTTTACAGTTACATATGCTAATGTTTTCATATTTTGAAGACGTAGTATAATTATATCATTATCAATTTCGTTAAAAATATTTTTCTCAATAAATAAAATATTGTTTTGTTCTATTATTTAGAGGGTGTTTGGTAAGAATTAAAATTAGATTTTTAGTTGAGCGTGATAGAAATTTTTGAAATGTGTGATTGAAAAGATGTGGGACCATAAAAGATGTAGTTAATATTGATTATTTGACTTTGATTTAGATTAAAATTAAATTTTAATCAAACCCAAACAGGCCCTAAATCCTTTCAAGAAATTTTTTACTATGAGAATTGAAGCACGTAAACCTAAATTCACAATCACAAATAACAGTGGAAACAATAAGATATTAAGAAGTACATGATATGGTATAAAGGAAATACCTTTTGATTTCAATTTTTTAATTAAAAAAAAAAAATCAGATTTGTTGACCACCCTTTCCTAAGTGTAGCTCCTCCCCTGTGCAAAAGTTTAATAACTCGTGATTGTTAATTCTATTCTTTTTCTAAATGCAGATCCATTGATAAAACACATTTTGATTTACTAAGTAGGCAAAAAGAAATAGTGATTCAATTATCTGTAGATTTGAAGATTGTGGCTATGACTATGCTATTGCTTTCGCAAGAAGAAAAACTATTAAAAGGTGAATTTTCAAGGTGGCGGTAGCGGCCTTGTAGGTGATTTTCGCATATTAGATTTTGGTTTGGGGGTGAGGTAAGGTGGAATGTGGAGTTCGGGAAGGATATGAAGTTTTAAATTTATGTATTGTCACGTCCTCGAGATTCGAACACATGACCTCCTCTTAACGGATATTTAAGTTGAATTCTAGTATTAATTGGACAAGTTATCAAACTGGTACCAATGTGTTCGAATTATGGGGACGCGACAAAAATCCATGAAAGATAAGATGAGAACTCTCTCATAACGGATAGTATGTAAACTAACGGTTTAGACATAAAAGCCGAATTGTTACAATAATTTTACAATCATAGTCAGAAATATAACTTGAAAGATTGTGATGTACACTCTTTCTCAATCTTACATTTCTTCCATTGTCTCTCCTCACCTCATGCCATTCTAATTCTGCTAATGGAAAAAACTTTCCACTCCACCACCTAGGACTATAAGCAAAAATCATCAAACCGGAAAATCGAACTGAAACCGCATTTTAGAAACTTTCGATTTGATGCCACGTGGACTCATCAATGAAATGGTTATGACGGTTTGGTTTAGGTTTGAGAATTTTAATTGCGATTTAAAACCAAATCGGACCGGCTAAAAAATATATAAAAATAAAAAAATGAAAATTTCTGAAAAATCCAAATATGTAAAATTCAATAGTTTTACTATGTGTGGATATTTTTGTCAATTTC